TTGTGGGTGAGCTACATCCTTATGGCATTAGCGTTCAGACTGGATTACTCCCAACAAAATGTTCTGCACAATTTGTTTCAAATGCAGTGCCATCTACTGTTGTTATTTCATAAAATACAAAGAAAATATAAACTCTTTAAAAAAATTCATGCGGGGGATGTTGTGCTCTGAGAGCACTCCTGTATGATTTATTTAGGCGTATCCTGCCAAATGCTGTTTGTTCACCACCATTTTGAATTGTGTTACAATTGTTTGCCTGCCAAGGTAGTCAAATTGTTTACAATTCTCAGCTACGTATGTATAATATATTTATGTGTTTTTAAATACTACTAGCTTTGGCGTTACATTGAGTTGCATAAATACAAATTTTTGAATACACTTCCAAATCGTTACAATATTTTTGCCGATAGATTAATTAAATTCTACTGCAGTTTTCCAGTCCCACTTCGTCAAACAGTCTTTATTTGTGTACCTTCTTTTGCTTGAGCGCTGTACTAATTGTCATGGAAAAAAATCTGCCAAAGATCCTCATCCGTGTTGTCTGGCATGCACACAAATTTGTGCACCATATTCTAAATGTGTTGTTTGCGTGCGTCTCTCTCCAACGAGTTTTACAACTTATAGGCAGGTCACTCACAAAAGTATTTTGCATCCATCCCATCGTGAGACTATGAAGATATCCCAATCATTTAATAGCGAGGGACAGGGTTTAGTCATTACTACACAACCATTATCTTCGGCGGGTAATATGTCGACCATTACTGTCACTGTGGAAGTGCAAATGCAGAGGATTTTGTGAGTATCATAACTGACCCTAATATTCAGGTGCCTGAGACATCTAGATCTGCTACGCCTGCACAAGCATCTCAAGACGCTTCAATGGGGGTAGCGCAAACCCAAGCCACGTTCCAGCCAACACCATTGAGCATTGCATCGCAGATACCTGTGCCGAGGGCAGCCCCTGCCTAATACCCAAGCGCATCCACAATGACATCAGCCCCAGGGCTGTCGGCGTACAATGATTAGCGCTGTACCAACAAAACCAGCGCAGCAGATGCAGGCTCAGGCATCAAAACCGTCACAAATGTTTTTGCAGTCCATGTGGCAGCAGTCCATGAAGCAGTTGTATCCTGCTCCCACGCCTACGCCTATGTATCAGATGCCTGCGACAATTACATCTACAGCACATGTTTTAGTACCTACTCTGGTGCCTAATGTATACAATACTCCTATTGTTCATCATAATACAGCGCATTCATCGTTGAGTAGTGCCAGTATGCCGGCACGCACTTGGACATCGACGCATGATTCCTGTTTGCCAGGCGGATCATCTAAGCCCACAGTCAGAGGTAGCACTACACATCGGAATACAAGTCGTTCACTTCTATACATTCATGTCAACATCGTTCTGATTCGTCAGACTATTCTAATGGTGAAGAGGGAGATTCTTCGACAGAAAGAATACTCATTTTGGTCTGTCACAAGTACCTGATTGGGTAGCTGATCGCCTCATTTTAGTGCTTTCCCCGGGTAACAGGGTGGATAAAAAAGACACAATATGGACACATCCTACATTGATTCGGGTCGACCCTATGATGACAGATATGATTAGATCTTTTGATGAAGACTTCTCCAGGCTGACACTTACGCCGTCATTTAAGCCACCAAAGTTAAGGAAGGATGAATTTCCTATCCATGCCTTTGAGACAGCAGACCAGGCACATAGTTTGGATGAGGATAATCAGAGAATGACAAGCTCGTCAAGGTCTACTGCTCTTAAGGTTCAGGATACCAGAGTTGTGTTGATTAAAACAGAAATTTGACGGGTATTAAAACCTTTATCAGCACTGGCATCGTCAACGTGTGGGGGTAGAGCAGGATCTGTCAAAGGATAACCCTAACCGACTAGATCATCTCCAAATTATAGTTGATTTTCAACAGCGTCAGATTGACCACATAAGAAATCACCTTAAAGCTGCGTTGGCAGAAATAACTGTCATGCGGAGGTTTGGGTATTTAGCCCTATCCACATGGGACTCAGGAGTTTAAGCGCAGGCTGCTATGTCAACCTTGGTCTTCCACATCTCTGTTCAATCAACAGATTACGGACACACAAGCCAAAGTTTCAGGTTATGCTAAGGATGAGATGGCACTCAAGGCTTTTGAGCACGTTTCTCACAGTTTATCCCAGCGATCCAGCAAGTCAGGCTATTATAGGCATAGACGCAAGTCTCTCAAGGAAGGCCAGGCACAGGATTCCTTTCACGTGAAAGGGCGTGGCAGAAGGACACCTCAAGGTACCTATCAGTCCGGCGTGGTAAATACCACATGATGGGAGGTGATAAGATAAAATACTCCCGCCTCCAGTCGTCCCAATTGTCTATACCCCCGTAGGCGGGAGACTGAATTGATTTTGGAAGAACTGGTGCATCCTCAAGGATGATAACATTCTCAACGTATTACGTCATGGTTACCAACTAGATGTTGAGGTACTTCCACCGTTGACCACGGCTCCACTTCCTTGGTATTATCCAAAAAGGCAACATCTGCTATTAAAAGCCAACATAGACATTCTGTTGGAAAAGAGAGCCATAGAGCTATAACACTGGTTTTTATTCCACATGTTCCATGTACCCAAAAAGGACTCAGACAAAATGAGAATGATACACAATCTCTCTGTATTCAACAAACGTTACCTGAAGTGTCCACCATACTTCTGCCTCACCTTGTTGAGACTACTCAGAACCAGCATAAAGGCATTCGATTCCTTGATTAGTCTCCATCTGCGGGATGCCTACCTGCATATTCCAATCCACCCTCCGACCGCAGATTCCTAAGATTTCAGTTCAATGGGGTTCACTACCAGTGGGCAGTGCTCTTTTTTGGCATTTCAGTGACCCCATGGCTATTTACACGAGTAATGAAGCCCTTAACTGCGTTTCTACACCTGAGGAACATTTGGTTTGAGTCGTACATAGACGACTGTCTCCTGTGTCATCAACACAAGCAGATGTTAGTCCGCCACTGGGATTTCACAAGAAGGCTACTGTATCAACTGGGATGGATAATCAACAAGGCGAAGTCTGAGTTAACTCCATCCTATCGATTCCAGTTAATAGGAGGCCTGTTCCAGACAGACCAGGATCTCCTATCTGTTCCGAGGGACAGAGGCTCAAGATTTTACGCCTCATGTCACCTGCTCTTCATCAACAATGCACACTTCGCCAATGGCAAGTGTTGTAAGGGTTACTCACCTCGGCACAGGATCTAACCAGCAGAGGCTCAGGTGCTCACCTGCAGGGCCAGACAGCCCAGGGCTATGGTCCGGCGCTCATAGAAAATGGCACATAAACAACTTGGAATTGGAAGCGTTAATTCTGGCCATATCACATTGGCAGAATGAACTACCGTCAGCCCAACTTGCAATATCCACAGACAACAGCACTGTGTTGTGGTGCCTGCGCAATCAGGGAACAACGCACTCCCACTCCCTGCTTCAACAGACATTCAGGTTTTTCTATCTAGTGGATTGTCTGTAACTACAGTTCATAGTTCATCACATCCCATATGTCAAAACATTCTGGCCGATGCCTTATTGCATCCAGACAGGGTGGCCCCACCAAGTGGAAACTACACACAGAAGCATTCCAGTTACTGCTTTAGACGTTCGGGCAACCAAACATCGATCTGTTTGCAACTTGCCAAAATTACTAACTCATGATGTATGTCTCCCCGTTACCGGATCCGCAGGCTTGGGCGGTGGATGCGTTCAGCATTCCTTGGTAAGGGCTAAAAGTGTACGCATTTCCGCCACCAGTTTTAATTCCCAGGGTAATACAAAAGATCAAGGAGTCTTGCTCTGACTTTGGGCACGTCCTGGTGGCTGGTGAGAGGGTGTTTCGTCGAGCTCAGAAATCTAGCAGAGAACGATCTACTACCCCTCCAACAGTGGTCAAACCTACTTTTCCACACTCAAAGCAAATTGCCTCATCCATCACCAGACAGGTTTTGTCTGCATGCTTGGATCATCTTGAAAAGGTGTTAAGTGTAAAGGGCTATTCAGCACGGGCAGCAAAAGCTATAACATTAGGTCATCGTCCCTCTACTAGAGGTCTATACGATGACAAGTGGGGATCGTTTGACACTTTTTGCAAGGGAACCCTACAACTGCGGCACCACAATTCCTAGCTGAACACCTCCTACATCTACGTACCCAAAGACACTTGAAAGGTAGCACCATTACTACGTACTTGAAACCTCAAAAGTATGTTTTCTAAAAGCTCGGGCGACAGGCATTGATGTGAAGAGGTGACCTCAGGTCATACAGGTCACAGGACAGAGGCGCTGGTCATCAAAAGTGGGACTTCAAACAACAGTTTATTATTTCTTCACCCAGGACCATCGCTGTTACTCTGTCCCGTCTTTTGTCGTAAGGTAAGCAGTGAATGCATTAAGGAGTAATGCAGGATAAGTATACAAATGTAAAAAAATATTTAGATTTTACTAATTCTTTTGATAATAATAGCACCGGCACCATGTTTGTTAAGGGCGACACCATGTTTGTTTATAAACACTGAAAGCAGTCCCTACTTGACCTTTGATATTTGCATCTCTATCCGCATATGACCACAACGGATATCGTTTTTATCTGATGGCTTTATCCTGCCGATAAACCTAACCATTATATGATAAATAATATATATATTACACATGATAGAAAATATAGCGTGTAGTTTCGATATGTTTCGTTGTGGTTAGAATAAAGAGCATATATTATTGTGATCCCGTATTTGGATGACAATTTACAATAGGGACTATATCATATGGTGGAATCAAAATTGTTTGAAAACATGGCAAATATTTTACTTCCACTGACTGGTATATGTTAACTTGATAATGTAGATGAATAATATGGCAGATTAACAAGGTGCCCAGTACACAGGATGGTCCATGTTAGAAGTTCATCTCTCAATTTCATGTGATGTTATTTTGATCTCCAGGAGATTGTTACTTCTCCAATAGAAGACAACATCAGCTCAGAGTCATTCAAGCAAGAGCCTGCTGTTGCAAAGTTTAAGGTAATCCAAACACTTAAGTTTCACAGTTTGCAATAATATTGTTGGAGTGTTGATATGGACATGATAAATTATTGTTTGACTGAGAATCAAAGAGCATATACCAGTATACCTTGCATTGTGAAATGTCATTGAAATTGTTTCCCTTTTATGCGATTAATGGTTTTTGCTTGAAGATTTTCTTGTATCATTAGCCAGAATACCGTAGCAACCCTCATGAAGATCAGGAGCTTGTGGCAGCCATAGAGCAGGCCTACTACAAGGATGAGACCTTTGACACGAGTGACTTTGAACTGCAGGTAATAGTAACAATTTGAGTTAAAACTGTATCTTCAACGAATTCAGCTGTGAAGAAAAGAATGTTTTATTGATTTCTCATCCAAAGTGAAATCGTGTTAAGGATGAGTTTCTAATCATGTTTGTCTTACAGATTGTGTTTTTAGCAGGCTGTTTAACTTCTAATCTTTGCATATGTATCAACAAAACATGATCTATCAGTCAACAGCATCATGTAACTTGTTTGTTGAGTTGTGATCTGTACTTGACCCTTAAACATGTATATATTTTTATTACTGCCTTGTACCATCACAGCAATCAGTCATGGTTAAAGTCTGCTTGAAGTGATGTTTGAATAATGAAAACATGGTTAGTTTAAGCAGTTTACTTATGCAACTTCTAAGCAAAATGAAAAAAAATGTTCTTATGGATCTTTAATTTTTCCAATTTCAGAAACTTCCAGAAGTTATTGATCTGTCTAAGGTTGACGAAGACAGAATTCGTCTGAGAAAACAACTACAAGCTGTAAGTTGACAAGGTTTTCAGCTTGCCAGACTCAGCCTATCACACTGATTATGTTGATGGACAAGTATAGTTTTCTGTCAGTGGACAATCTTGTTAACATAACATTTCCAAACAGAGGTATTTGAACAGAACTGCATCTCCTTGCAAGAGGTTATTCAATTGTTTCACTCACTTCATTAGAGTTCATTCTAAGCTGTGCCATTGGTGCAGGGGTCCGGAAACCGTCATATGCGCCGGACATGTCCGATTGGGAATCTCAAATGTCCGTTTTAAAATATTGCTTACCGGACATTTTAAAAAGTATTGTCCGGACATTCTTAAATTTTGACCGGACATGATCAACATTTAGGACTGAGCAGTTTCTGTCTGCAGTTGCAACACAATGAAGATTAACTACACTGATTGGTGCATACATTTTTCAAATTACAGGGGGCCATGATGATAATGATGGCACACTTTGTTTGAATTATTTCCAATCTAAAAAATCAAATAAAGTCTCCCAATACCAAAACAACATAAGTTTGTTTTGATTGCAACCTCATTAAAACTCCAAATCATGCACTCACAACTACTGCACTATGTTAAACATGGCAAGAGTGCTCCCTGTGTGGCTTTGTATGGAGCAGTATTGCTGTTTTGTACTCTGCACACTGTTTTCACAATAATTACATAGAATGTGATGCCCTAGGAATGCTGTCGGAAAACTGCACAAAAAAACCATTTTATATTGAGCTTAGCGATTGGTCTATATCGTGAATATTACTATATAGCCAATCATATTTCAAGATGCATATTTAATTGACCTTGGCCATGTTGGCTGTCAAACGCCAGGTCTGGGTATTTTCATTCTTTTTAAAGTAACATAGACATTTAACAGATAGTTCTAAGGAAATGGCCGCCACTAGCCTGTCAAATGAGGACATCGAAAGTTGAAACTTAAGTATGTACTTCATTTGTTTCAAAGTAATTGGCTTAAATCTACCCATAGCTTTGACTGTCAGACATATATCATCAGCATCAGACATATAGCATCAGCATCAGACATATAGCATCAGCATCAGAAATATAGTATCAGACATATAGCATCAACATCAGACATATAGCATCAGCATCAGACATGAGGCAACAGCATCAGACATATAGCATCAGCATCAGACATATTGCATCAGCATCAGACATATCTCATCAACATCAGACATATAGCATCAGCATCAGACATGTAGCATCAGCATCAGACATATAGCATCAGACATATAGCATCCGCATCAGACATTTACCATCAGCATCAGACATGTATCATCAGCATCAGACATAGCATCAGCATCAGACATAGCATCAGACATGTAGCATCAGCATCAGACATATCTCATCAGCATCAGACATATAGCATCAGCATCAGACATATAGCATCAGCATCAGACATTTACCATCAGCATCAGACATATTGCATCAGCATCATACACGTATCATCAGCATCAGACATGTATCATCAGCATCAGACATATAGCATCAGCATCAGACAAATTGTATCAGCATCAGACATTTATCATCAGCATCAGACATGTAGCATCAGCATCAGACATATAGCATCAACATCAGACATATAGCATCAGACATATATAGCAGCAGCATCAGACATGTAACATCAGCATCAGACATATAGCATCAGCATCAGACATATAGCATCAGCATCAGACATATAGCATCAGCATCAGACATTTACCATCAGCATTAGACATTTACCATCAGCATCAGACATGTATCATCAGCATCAGACATGTATTATCAGCATCAGACATGTATCATCAGCATCAGACATATAGCATCAGCATCAGACATAGCATCAGCATCAGACTTGTATCATCAGCATCAGACATATTGCATCAACATCAGACATATAGCATCAGCATCAGACATTTACCATAAGCATTAGACATTTACCATCAGCATCAGACATGTATCATCAGCATCAGACATATTGCATCAGCATCAGACATGTATCATCAGCATCAGACATGTATCATCAGACATATAGCAGCAGCATCAGACATATAGCATCAACATCAGACAAATTGCATCAGCATCAGACATTTATCATCAGCATCAGACATATAGCATCAGCATCAGACATATAGCATCAGACATAGCATCCGCATCAGACATATAGCAACAGCATCAGATATATAGCATCAGCATCAGACATTTATTATCAGCATCAGACATGTTTCATCAGCATCAGACATATAGCATCAGCATCAGACTTGTAGCAACAGCATCAGACATGTAACAACAGCATCAGACATATAGCATCAGCATCAGACATATAACAGCAGCATCAGACATGTATCATCAGCATCAGACATATAACAGCAGCATCAGACATGTATCATCAGCATCAGACATGTATCATCAGCATCAGACATATAGCAGCAGCATCGGACATATAGCAGCAGCATTGGACCTATAGCATCGGCATCAGACATGTATCATCAGCATCAGTCATATAGCATAAGCATCAGACATATAGCATCAGCATCAGACATATAGCAGCAGCATCAGACATAGCATCAGCATCAGACATATACAATCAGTATCAGACATATTGCATCAGCATCAGACATATAGCATCAGACATATAGCATCAACATCAGACAAATTGCATCAGCATCCGACATTTATCATCAGCATCAGACATATAGCATCAGCATCCGACATTTACCATCAACATCAGACTTGTATCATCAGCATCAGACATATAGCATCAGACATGTAGCATCAGCATCAGACATCTCATCAACATCTGACATATAGCATCAGCATCAGACATGTAGCATCAGCATCAGACTTATAGCATCAGCATCAAACATTTACCATCAACATCAGACTTGTATCATCAGCATCAGACATATTGCATCAGCATCAGACATGTATCATCAGCATCAGACATATTGCATCAGCATCAGACATATAGCATCAGCATCAGACATATAGCATCAGCATCAGACATATAGCATCAGCATCAGCATCAGACATATAGCATCAGCATCAGACATATAGCATCAGCATCAGACATTTACCATCAGCATTAGACATTTACCATCAGCATCAGACATGTATCATCAGCATCAGACATATTGCATCAGCATCAGACATGTATCATCAGCATCAGACATGTATCATCAGCATCAGACATATAGCATCAGCATCAGACATATAGCATCAACATCAGACAAATTGCATCAGCATCAGACATTTATCGTCAGCATCAGACATGTAGCATCCGCATCAGACATATAGCAACAGCATCAGACATATAGCATCAGCATCAGACATTTATTATCAGCATCAGACATGTTTCATCAGCATCAGACATATAGCATCAGCATCAGACTTATAGCAACAGCATCAGACATGTAGCAACAGCATCAGACATATAGCATCAGCATCAGACATATAACAGCAGCATCAGACATGTACCATCAGCATCAGACATGTATCATCAGCATCAGACATATAGCAGCAGCATCAGACATATAGAGCAGCATTGGACATATAGCATTGGCATCAGACATGTATCATCAGCATCAGTCATATAGCATAAACATCAGACATATAGCATCAGCATCAGACATGTATCATCAGCATCAGACATATAGCATCAGCATCAGACATACAGCAGCAGCATCAGACATAGCATCAGCATCAGACATGTATCATCAGCATCAGGCATATAGCAACAGCATCAGACATATAGCAGCAGCATCAGACATATAGCATCAGACATTTTCCACTAGACTAATATTTAATCGAAGACAATATCTACACAAGCGACATTCTGGTTCGATGGCTTTGCATCTGCCCATTTCGATCATCAACTGATGACAGCCACATCTAAATCTTTACAACGCTTATTTCAATAGTGTACAGTCGACTTGTGTAAGATATACTTCGGTCTGTAAAACTGATTTGTAGGTTGAATATACCATTAGCTTTGGATTTGATGATATTGATGAATGCCATCATTGGATGTTGTAATCAGATACACGTTGCTTAAACTGAGACATAAAAAGATAAACATTTCCAACATCTTGCATAATCCAGGCATAGCCAAAGCCAAACTGGAATAAGATATGTTTTATTTTAGTGGCCCAGGAAGTTCTGTTTACACAGTCCAGTCCATACAGCATTAGATCTGTTTGCTTCGGAAGTCGGCCATTATTCATAGTGACTAGTTTAGCCCAATATTTTACACATTTTGATACATAGGTGAGAAATAATAGAGGTCGACCACTTTCTCCAAGAACAGCATCATTACAAGCACTCAGAGGCAGATACAGAATTCTTTTTTCATACTTAGTCTGAACTCTCTCAATTTGATCCACGACTTCTTATCCCCAAAGTTCGGAGCCGTATGTAAGGATGGGCAGAACCATGCTATCAAAAATCTTTAGTGCAGTCATAATTGGTAAGCCACCATACATAGAGTGCAATCTGTATATGTGTAAGCATACTTTCTCCGCCTGCTTTGCCAACACCTGTTTAGTTTAGGTGTAAAGTAGAGACCAAGATATTTATATAAGGAGACGGTTTCGATCTGAGAGCCCCTGTTTTATACCATTTTTCATACTGCCATCGATATCCACCATTTCGGAATACAACAACCTTCGATTTTTGTATATTTAGGTTCATACCCCATATTTCACAAAAGTTGCTAACACAATTTATTTGTTTTTGGAGTTTGCCTGCGGAATCTGCAGAGTTAGCAACATCATTAGCATAGAGAAGTGAACATATATTAGGATAATGTTCAGATATGAAAATGCCTCTACAGTTTGAAGAAGCCATCTCAGTAACCAATTCATTGATGTAAAATGAAAATAACAGCGGGCTGACCATACATCCTTGGCGAGTACCAACCCAGCACTGAAAAAAGTCTGTGAAACCTTGATCTGTCCGTACACAAGTCTGTAGGTTTGAATACATATTTCTTAAAACAGTTAAAATATTTCCATGTATTCCATAGCTAATAAGTCTATGCCAAAGTAAAGTGTGATTTACGCAATCAAAGGCTTTTGAGAAGTCTATGAAGAAAACATATGATCTGCCTACTGTTGATTTAGAGAGGTATTTTCTAATCATCCCATAAAGAGAAAACATGTTGTCCACCATCGAATAACCTTTCCTGAATCCATCTTGATTTTCATAAATAACATTATTTTCATTAGACCAATTTTGGAGTCTCTGGTTTAATATTTTGGTGAAAACCTTTCCAATCACTGGTAATAGAGAGATTCCTCTCTAGTTGTTTGGATCAGATAAAGTGCCTTTTTTATGAAGAGGACATATGATTGCCTTGCACCAATCAATCGGGGATATTCCCAGTTTTCATTATTTCATTAAACAAATTCATAAGTATCGGAGATATTTGAAATGAAGAATGGATAAGTAATTCCGTTGGAATTCCATCCCAACCTGCCGCTTTATGACATTTAAGATAACGGATTGTCTCTGTAACTTCCTGCAGGGTTATGTCTCTATTAGGTTGATCAGGTAGTCCTTCATTGCAATTGTTACAATGTGAATCATGCTCGATTAAATGTTGATTAACTTTATCTATAATGATCGGGGTGGTTTGACCTGTATACAGTAACTGTTTAAAGTAATTATGCCATTCAGTGCCACTGACTTTGCTACCTGTAGAAGACGAGTTGGTATTTTTAAATGATTTAATAGAGTTCCACAGTTCAGGGTTGTCACAAATACTATAAAGTTTATCTCTGATTCCTTGCCGAAAAGACAATTTACAATCATGACACACTGATTTAAATATTTGCTTCTTTTGTTTATAAATTTGCAAATCAAGTGAAGCGTCAGTCAATCTAAATTTGTCTAGGGCCCGATACTTTTCACGCTTGGCTGTCTCACACTGCATGTTCCACCATGCGGGCTGCTCGTCTGCGCATTGAAGCTGCTGTCCGCTCAAAATAGATGGGATATCTAATTGACGGCGTTATCAATATCCTTTTAAATTTCAGCATTAATATCCTTAATCAGTGATTTTGAAACATCATCAGTGATTATTTTATCAAAGACTTTTTGGCAGCTATCTCTCCAAATGTACTTTGTATAGGGTGTCAGTAACATGTCACCGGCTATGTCAATAAGCTTAGTGTTAATGTTCAATTCACAAATAATAGGATAGTGATCAGATTCGTCCACACTCAGCACCCTGAAGTCTTTGACTTGCTCGAACAGAGCTGAGGTAGCAAGCATATAATCCACTGTGCTACATCCATTGTTTGCAGTACATGTGTAATTACCAACCTCATCTCCAGAAAACCTTCCATTAAGAAAATGAACACAATATATACAGCAAATTTCAGGCAGCCTTCTACCAAAGTTGTTTACCTCTTTATCTCTGTTTTTACGGGGTAGTGAAAATCCATCGCTGTCATACCAATCACTAGCAGGTAGATATTCTGCATTGTCATCAATAATGTAGTCTTCTTCAACACCTGTTCTACAATTAAAGTCTCCTATTAACAGTAATTCTGTATCATATGTATTATTCATTTCATAAAGTGTTTCTTCAAGAATATGGAGACTGTCTTTATCTGTTCCCTCATAGTAGGTTGAGTTTTCTGGAGGGATGTAGAGAAATCCAACAATTACAATTACCATGTTAAACATGGTAAGAGTGCTCCCTGTGTGGCTTTGTATGGAGCAGTATTGCTGTTTTGTACTCTGCACACTGTTTTCACAATAATTACATAGAATGGGATGCCCTAGGAATGCTGTCGGAAAACTGCACAAAAAACATTTTATATTGAGCTTAGTGATTGGTCTCAGTTTGTCTGGCACAGGTGTGAGACTGTTTGCCACTGTACAGCTGGACAGTATTGCTTACTGTGGCATTGAATAACAAACAAACAAAAATGTCATTAACTGATGCAGGTTTCAAAGAAAGTGTCGGAGTTGATCCTCCAGAAGCAGCCAGCATATGCAGCGGAGTTGCAGAGGGTGATGGAGCTGCAGAAGACACTGCAGCTGGCGGGGGTCATCTGCAGCACTGGGCGCAAGTAGGTGCACCATGTTCAGGCAGGCCATGAGTACCCTCAGGCTTGAAATACCTGGAGAGAACTTGTTCATCAGTGCCATTGATAACAGTGTATAACTGATAAACTTTGATGTGAACTTATAATACTCATAAAATCCAGCGCTGTATGGAGAAGGGCAATATTGACTTTATTACTGACATATGGTTTATTTATCACAGTTTATACATTAAACATGTAGAAGATTGCTTCAATACATGATAACTTTATTTGGAGATTCCTGTTAATTTTTGTGCATATTGTACTTGAATGTGTATGAAGAATACACAGTTTTGAAACCGTTTGTGTTTTCACTGTAATATGGGCCGGTTGTTTATTAATGAATAAAGGATTCATTGATTCAGTACATGAATTATATGACCAAGCTTTGTAACAGCAGAACCAGAAAAACTCTCATACACATGGTTGTGGGTGTTGGTGGGATTTCCAGAGACTGTGCATGCTTTGGTAATGATGGGTTGTTTCCCTTGCAGGCAACTGTTCCATGCTCGGGAGAGTTTCACCACTGCCAGTCTGGGGCTGCTCGCTAACTACAGGAAGAGACAGCAACTCTGGGGATTGCTCAAGTCACTGCACACAATAAAAACACTGGTATGGTTACACTTTCACTTTGTGCTCTGTGCTCTCAGCTAAGATTTCCCTGTGCAAGCATTTGTACACATGTGTGATATGTTCTCAAACCTGTTGGTCAATCCAAGTGGAATGTAGCCCAAAAGACAAAACATATTGAGAAATCTGTGTTTATGTTCTTATTTTACCTAATTATACGTATAAGTTATATGATATAACCTATAAGAATATTTTGATAATGCTAAGCTAGGTTGTTATGATACTTATTTCAACTAATTCAATTACGGACAGCATCTGGAATACCTGGTCAAAATCATATTTAATGGTCAAGAACTGGTAATTACCACCAAATGGAATCACTGAAAATGCCCTCATTGTCTTTTCTTGAGCATGATTGTGGCTTTTTATTGACCTTTCAGCAAAGAACAGATTTGAGATTGAGAGAAATGATGGAGGTAAGTGGACTAAAGTAGACATTGTAGCAACTGATGACAAATTCAGTGCAACTGTTCTCAGGGATCTGATGGAGAAAACCCAATTTTTTTTAACTCATCCTGCATTACTCCTTACATCTTCCCGAGTCAAGAGAGTTAACTGACTATGAAAGTCCAGTTTCCACCCTTGCTGAACTAGGCTGGTATTATGGAGTTGCATTTTGGCTAGACTAACGAGTCTATGCATAGTCCAATCAAAATCGCACAACGAAATCAAAATCAGGTTCGTAAACTGTCATGCAGATCGCCAACTCGTTGTCAACAAATATTTTCTAAATCTTTTAATCTAGGAGCTCACGTGATTTGATGCACTTTGTGATGTAAGACTCATTTTATCACAATATAGATCTTGATTATCGATCAGATCGTCTTGACTGGGCGCTGCCATTTTGTTTGAAGCAAATGCAAGTGATACTAGTGGTGGAATCTGATTGGTCCATAGGAGAGGCATGGAAGGGACATAGCACGTAATAGCCACAGGTGGCGCTATGATCAAACCCAGGAATTCCAGCCTTGTTCGGCAAGGGTGGAAACTGGACTTTTAAAGTCAGTTAACTCTCTTGCCTCGGGAAGATGTACTTCTTAATGCATTTACTGCTGTATGACAGAAAGATGAAGCTGTGAGGGGTCTAGCTTCAGAAGAAGTTGTCCCATCCAGTGGTGTAGCAATACCCTCACACAGCTGCAACGTGACCCAGAAGTGGTGACGTCACATAAGAGCTTATTACTGCTTTGTCAGTCAACACGGTCTGATGTGTTTGCAGTTTTCTGCATCCTTTGCGTCTTATTTACACTTTGTTTCAAATTGATATTAATTTTTTATATTATTATATTTGTGTCTTTTTAGTCTTATCCATAAATATTTTGTGTTAATTTCCCGCTCGTTTGTGGCCTTTTGTTTACGGTTATGGGAGTATTGTTGTTCCATTCCACCATTTTCCATTTGCCACATGGACATGCTCTCGTGTCTTGTGTTGAGAATTTATTTCTTTTGCATTGGCAATCATTCTACTTTATTACACATCTCGTGTACATTTTAAGTGTTCTTTTACAATTGTTTTGCTTAAATTTTCTCTTATAAGCCAAGGAGTTTTTGAGTTACAAATTATCTTCCGTGTCTTCAGTTTGTGAATATGAAATTGCTTAAATTATTTGCACAGACACCTGTTAGATTGCACAGACACCTGATTCTGCAGCCCCTTGTCTCCAAAGGACTTCTCCCTATACTTGAAGGCTGCACAGAAACGATGTATGCAACGTGCTCGCTGTCACCCTATGTTGTCTGACCTCGCTGCATTCCTGTTTACCACAACTAGCACTGCTCCGCCAGTTGCTACAGTCGAGTCAGAGTATAGTTCAACTTCATCTTCTATCCTCATCTGCCACCTTGGCGCCTTGTAGACAGAGATAGCTCTTCTGTCCGTATAATTGAACGTGATTAGCAGTCAGAACTCTGACGGAGCCTTTGTCCCAAACTTTGAACCTCCCTCTCCGGACTTGGAAACACATCTTGGAATGAACCAAGTCGCCGATTGGATGGCAGACAGGTTGACTTCCATAGTGCCTTCCCTGGGACCTGTGCCCTCCCGTTGGAGTGCTACGTGCCCACACGTTTTTACCAGTAATGTGCTCTGATGTAAATTTCACCTTTTCCGGGTCACGTGGTAGCTGTGTGAGGGTATTGCTACACCACTGGTTAGAACAACTTCTTCTGCATCTAGACCTCTCATAGCTCCGTCTTTCTATCAAAACACAGCAATAAATACATTAAGGAGTGATGCAGGATAAGTATACAAATGTAAAAAATATTTAGATTTTACTAATTTTTTTCAGGTGCAGTTAAGAAGTGTGTACCATCACAGTCATAGCCAAATTTTGTTCCCACTGAATAAAATCATAAAGGTTCCATGTCATATTGATATGTGCCTGGCAACCATCAGCTGTGACGTTTGTGTTTCAGGAGGAGGATTACAGTGGGGCTATACAACTATGTCTGGAGTGTCAGAAGGCAGCCAGTACATTCAGGCACTACCGTTGTATCAGGTAAACTGAAGAACACTGTTATAGAAAATCAGTCCATACATTCAGGCACTACCGCTAACCATCAGTCATGAATCATTGAAAATCCCAGCATCAGAGCTCCCTTTGTGTCAAAACTATTGACAGTAACATTCATGTTCTTGGTCATCCAGGCTGTTTGCATATGTAGACTATCGTGACTGTTGTTGTTGTTGTTGTTTACTGTAAATCTGGAAGGTTTTGCAAGCAGGAAAGTGCTGTAAAAACTGTGAGTTACACACACTCGCAATAGTTTTAAGACACAGTTATATTTGTAGATCAACAAAAACCGTAAGGAGGCATATTTCTTCCATTTGCTTCCACACATTGTCAACCAGCCAGCTGCATCATTAAATCAATAATGTTGTTTCCGTAATTGCACTTTGTCACTCAGTGTCAATAGTTCACTGACCTGCCACATCACATCAATGAGCAGTCCAGACATACGCCAGCCAGTCTCTTCTGTTAGATGAACATGCTACTCCAACCTAACCTGTCAACTACAACAACACATGCATGTATGGTTAAAAACCACTGACTGACACTGAGTAACCCTTTCGTCATAACGCTTCCTATTTATGAAAAATTACTTGGGCAGAAGCAGCTTTGATCTTTGGGAATCTCATCAACATGCTGTATGCCAAAATTTCCAGCTGTAGTTAAGGCTAGTGTTAGACACTCGCAATAATTTCTTGGCGCAAATCTGTCCAGATTTACAGTATTTGACTATAACAATTGCATGTTTAAACTGTTTGCAGTGAGTTGAGTTCCAAACTCCAGGACACACTGGAGATGATTGAGGAACAGCTGGATGTGGCGCTGTCTAAGACTTGCTCCAGCTTTGATGTCACCCACTATGAGAAGGTGCAGATGGCATACAGACTGCTGGGCAAGACACAGGTACACACACCACTTTCCATTGTGGGATTTGTGCTTATGAATGTTTTGTAATAGAAACTACTAAATATTTAGAATCCAAAACATCCTGAAATCTTTTTCCCCAAATGATTTTCATTGGCCTTGTATAATAACAGTTGTGACTTGATGCAGGTTAACCCTCTCACATTACGTTGATGTTTAAATGGCTTAGTTGTGTTGTGCTTTGTAGTATACTGCAGAATACTAGAACTGAGTGTCATGTATTGTCACTACCATTAGATTTGGATTAAGTGAACTTTGTAATGAACATTTAAGCAAACTTGTACTAATAAGTAGTTAACAAAGATCGAACCATTCTTTAGAGGTCTGTCTTAAAATAATGTCAACATTTTACATGAAGTTACCTATGCTGAATTGTAGTAGTGATTTGAGCAGTCCCAAGAAGAGGTGATGTACAGTTAAGTGTGTGAGCTACATTTGACAAGTGGCAACAATTTGATGATTGACATTCCCAAAATAAACTGGCATGGCTAATAAAATACTGCGTTGTCTCTTCTGTACTTTGCTGGACAAGAGCCATTTGAATCTCCCAAGCTTAAAATATGGACATGAAGAGATAATTATAACCGACAAACCTCTGAATGAAGATGTTTTTTATGTATATCTGAGTAAGGGTATCTTATTCCAGACTGCCATGGACCAGCTACACATGCACTTCGCCAGTGCTATCCACAACACAGCATTCACTGTGGTGCTGGGATATGTGGAGTTGTGCTCAGGCACCGGCACCACCAACTTCCAGAAGAGGCAGTACTCAGACCTGTGCAAGGTGAGACTCTTACACCTAGGTCAGTCGTAGAACTATGAGGCATGTAGACCATAACATACAGGCTGTGACTGGTAGGAGGCATGTAGACAATAACATACAGGCTGTGACTGGTATGAGGCATGTAGACAATAACATACAGGCTGTGACTGGTAGGAGGCATGTGGACAATAACATATAGGCTATGACTGGTAGGAGGCATGTAGACAATAACATACAGGCTGTGACTGGTAGGAGGCATGTGGACAATAACATACAGGCTATGACTGGTAGGAGACATTTAGACAATAACATACAGGCTGTGACTGGTAGGAGGCATGTGGACAATAACATACAGGCTGTGACTGGTAGGAGGCATGTGGACAATAACATACAGGCTGTGACTGGTAGGAGGCATTTAGACAATAACATACAGGCTGTGACTGGTAGGAGGCATGTGGAATATAACATACAGGCTGTGACTGGTAGGAGGCATTTAGACAATAACATACAGGCTGTGACTGGTAAGAGGCATGTAGACAATAACATACAGGCTATGACTGGTAGGAGGCATGTACACAATAACATACAGGCTGTGACTGGTAGGAGGCGTGTGGACAATAACATACAGGCTGTGACTGGTAGGAGGCATGTAGACAATAACATACAGGCTGTGACTGGTAGGAGGTGTAAGGACAGAAACATACAGGCTATGACTGGTAGGAGGAATGTAGACAATAACATACAGGCTTTGACTAGTAGGAGGCATTTAGACAATAACATACAGGCTATGACTGGTAGGAGGCATGTAGACAATAACATACAGGCTATGACTGGTAAGAGGCATGTAGACAATAACATACAGGCTGTGACTGGTATGAGGCATGTAGACAATAACATACAGGCTGTGACTGGTAGGAGGCATGTGGACAATAACATATAGGCTATGACTGGTAGGAGGCATGTAGACAATAACATACAGGCTGTGACTGGTAGGAGGCATGTGGACAATAACATACAGGCTATGACTGGTAGGAGACATTTAGACAATAACATACAGGCTGTGACTGGTAGGAGGCATGTGGACAATAACATACAGGCTGTGACTGGTAGGAGGCATGTGGACAATAACATACAGGCTGTGACTGGTAGGAGGCATTTAGACAATAACATACAGGCTGTGACTGGTAGGAGGCATGTGGAATATAACATACAGGCTGTGACTGGTAGGAGGCATTTAGACAATAACATACAGGCTGTGACTGGTAAGAGGCATGTAGACAATAACATACAGGCTATGACTGGTAGGAGGCATGTACACAATAACATACAGGCTGTGACTGGTAGGAGGCGTGTGGACAATAACATACAGGCTGTGACTGGTAGGAGGCATGTAGACAATAACATACAGGCTGTGACTGGTAGGAGGTGTAAGGACAGAAACATACAGGCTATGACTGGTAGGAGGAATGTAGACAATAACATACAGGCTTTGACTAGTAGGAGGCATTTAGACAATAACATACAGGCTATGACTGGTAGGAGGCATGTAGACAATAACATACAGGCTATGACTGGTAAGAGGCATGTAGACAATAACATACAGGCTGTGACTGGTAGGAGGCATGTAGACAATAACATACAGGCTGTGACTGGTAGGAAGCATGTAGACAATAACATACAGGCTGTGACTGGTAGGAGGCATGTGGACAATAACATACAGGCTTTGACTAGTAGGAGGCATTTAGACAATAACATACAGGCTATGACTGGTAGGAGGCATTTAGACAATAACATACAGGCTGTGACTGGTAGGAGGCATGTAGACAATAACATACAGGCTATGACTGGTAGGAGGCATGTAGACAATAACATACAGGCTGTGACTGGTAGGAGGCATGTGGACAATAACATACAGGCTGTGACTGGTAGGAGGCATTTAGACAATAACATACAGGCTGTGACTGGTAGGAGGCATGTAGACAATAACATACAGGCTATGACTGGTAGGAGGCATGTAGACAATAACATACAGGCTGTGACTGGTAGGAGGCATGTGGACAATAACATATAGGCTATGACTGGTAGGAGGCATTTAGACAATAACATACAGGCTGTGACTGGTAGGAGGCATGTGGAATATAACATACAGGCTGTGACTGGTAGGAGGCATTTAGACAATAACATACAGGCTGTGACTGGTAGGAGGCATGTACACAATAACATACAGGCTATGACTGGTAGGAGGCATGTACACAATAACATACAGGCTGTGACTGGTAGGAGGCATGTAGACAATAACATACTGGCTGTGACTGGTAGGAGGTGTGTGGACAATAACATATAGGCTGTGACTGGTAGGAGGCATGTGGACAATAACATACAGGCTATGACTAGTAGGAGGCATATAGATAATAACATACAGGCTGTGACTGGTAGGAGGCATGTGGACAATAACATACAGGCTATGACTGGTAGGAGGCATGTGGACAATAACATACAGGCTATGACTGGTAGGAGGCATGTAGACAATAACATACAGGCTATGACTGGTAGGAGGCATGTAGACAATAACATACAGGCTATGACTGGTAGGAGGAATGTAGACAATAACATACAGGCTATGACTAGTAGGAGGCATGTAGACAATAACATACAGGCTAAGACTGGTAGGAGGCATGTGGACAATAACATACAGGCTAAGACTGGTAGGAGGCATGTAGACAATAACATACAGGCTGTGACTGGTAGGAGGCATGTAGACAATAACATACAGGCTGTGACTGGTAAGAGGCATGTAGACAATAACATAAAGGCTGTGACTGGTAAGAGGCATTTAGACAATAACATACAGGCTATGACTAGTAGGAGGCATGTGGACAATAACATACAGGCTGTGACTGGTAGGAGGCATATGGACAATAACATACAGGCTGTGACTGGTAGGAGGCATTTAGACAATAACATACAGGCTATTAATGGTAGAAGGTGTGTGGACAATAACATACAGGCTATGACTGGTAGGAGGAATGAAGACAATAAAATACAGGCTATGACTAGTGAGTGAGTGAGTGAGTGAGTGAGGTTTTACGCCGCTTTTAGCAATATTCCAGCAATATCACGGCGGGGCTATGACTAGTAGGAGGCATGTAGACAGTAACATACAGGCTATGACTGGTAGGAGGCATGTAGACAATAACATACAGGCTGTGACTGGTAGGAGGTGTGTGGACAATAACATACAGGCTGTGACTGGTAGGAGGCATGTGGAAATAACATACAGGCTGTGACTGGTAGGAGGCATGTGGACAATAACATACAGGCTGTGACTGGTAGGAGGCATGTAGACAATAACATACAGGCTGTGACTGGTAGGAGGCATGTAGACAATAACATACAGGCTGTGACTGGTAGGAGGCATGTGGACAATAACATTCAGGCTATGACTGGTAGGAGGCATGTAAACAATAACATACAGGCTGTGACTGGTAGGAGGCATGTAGACAATAACATATAGGCTATGACTGGTATGAGGCATGTAGACCATAAGATACAGGCTATGACTGGTAGGAGGCATTTAGACAATAACATACTGGCTATGGCTGGTAGAACGGAGATGATGAAATTGTCATTTTGAGCTTTGATGAAAACTGAATAAAGGTTGTATATAAATCACCAACATCAGAATTCGTGGATTGTTATGATCCCATTATAGCTATTAAAAGCATCTTTGGGGCTTCTGCGATCAGAAGCCACCATGAGGACAGCATAATATCCAACACAAGCATCAGCAGTACCCACTGAGGATGTACCAAGCAATTACAGTCAGTCTTTCTCATTCCCACTTGCTTGATGCTGGTCAGTGCTTCAGCATCAGATCTGAAATCATTATGTATTGTGTTGCAGCACATAACAACAGAGACTTTCACACCATGTCTTGTGGACCTTTGCAAGGCATTGTGGGGAGTGATGAAGAGCTACTACAAAACCATGCAGTGGCATGAGAGCCATGACCAAGACATGGCTACTGAACACACCGGTAACTTGCCTGTAATAACTGTACGTATGCATGCAGCATAAGACAGGTATTATAGGTGCTACTGACTCCATCATCCACATATATCTACCACCATCACCCACCTGTACCTGACACCATCACCCACCTGTACCTGACACCATCACCCACCTGTACATGACACCATCACCCACCTGTACCTGACACCATCACCCACATGTCCCTGACACTGTCACCCACATGACACCATCACCCACCTGTACCTGACACCATCACCCACCTGTACCTGACACCATCACCCACATGTACCTGACACCATCACCCACCTGTACATGACACCATCACCCACCTGTACCTGACACCATCACCCACATGTCCCTGACACTGTCACCCACATGACACCATCACCCACCTGTACCTGACACCATCACCCACCTGTACCTGACACCATCACCCACATGTACCTGACACCATCACCCACATGACACCATCACCCATCTGTACCTGACACCATCACCCACCATTACCTGACACCATCACCAACATGTCCCTGACACCATCACCCACCTGTACCTGACACTGTCACCCACATGACACCATCACCCACATGTCCCTGACACTGTCACCCACATGACACCATCACCCACATGCACCTGACACCATCACCCACATGTACCTGACACCATCACCCACATGTACCTGACACCATCACCCACTTGTATCTGACACTGTCACCCACATGACACCATCACCAACCTGTACCTGACACCATCACCCACCATTACCTGACACCATCACCCACATGTCCCTGACACCATCACCCACCTGTACCTGACACCATCACCAACCTGTACATGACACTATCACCCACCTGTACATGACACCATCACCAACCTGTACATGACACCATCACCCACCTGTACCTGACACCATCACCCACCATTACCTGGCACCATCACCCACATGTCCCTGACACCATCACCCACCTGTACCTGACACTGTCACCCACATGACACCATCACCCACATGTCCCTGACACTGTCACCCACATGACACCATCACCCACATGCACCTGACACCATCACCCACATGTACCTGACACCGTCACCCACATGTACCTGACACCATCAACCACATGTACCTGACACCATCACCCAATTGTATCTGACACTGTCACCCACATGACACCATCACCAACCTGTACCTGACACCATCACCCACGTGTACCTGACACCATCACCAACCTGTACCTGACACCATCACCCACCTGTGCCTGACACCATCACCAACCTGTACCTGACACTGTCATCCACATGACACCATCATCCACATGTACCTGACACCATCAACCACATATACCTGACACCATCACCAACATGTACCTGACACCATCACCCACATGTACTTGACACCATCACCAACCTGTACCTGACACCATCACCCACATGAACCTGACACTGTCACCCACATGACACCATCATCCACATGTACCTGACACCATCACCCACATGTACCTGACACCATCACCAACCTGTACCTGACACCATCACCCCCATATACCTGACACCATCACCCACATGTACCTGACACTGTCACCCACATGAAACCATCATCCACATGTACCTGACACCATCACCCACATGTACCTGACACCATCACCCACATGTACCTGACACCATCACCCACCTGTACCTGACACCATCACCAACCTGTACCTGACACTGTCACCCACATGAAACCATCATCCACATGTACCTGACACCATCACCCACATGTACCTGACACCATCACCCACCTGTGCCTGACACCATCACCAACCTGTACCTGACACTGTCACCCACATGACACCATCATCCACATGTACCTGACACCATCACCCACCTGTACCTGACACCATCACCCACATGTACCTGACACCATCACCCACCTGTACCTGACACCATCACCAACCTGTACCTGACACTGTCACCCACATGACACCATCATCCACATGTACCTGACACCATCACCCACATGTACCTGACACCATCACCCACTTGTACCTGACACCATCACCAACCTGTACCTGACACTGTCACCAACATGACACCATCACCCACATGTACCTGACACCATCACCCACATGTACCTGACACTGTCACCCACATGTACCTGACACCATCACCCACCTGTACCTGACACTGTCACCCACATGACACCATCATCCACCTGTACCTGCCACCATCACCCACTTGTTCCTGACACCATCACCCACCTGTACCTGACACCATCACCAACATATACCCGACACTGTCACCCACATGGGTAGCAATGTCAGATACATATATTCGTGAGAGCGTCTTTACTGGTGTCATATGTTGTTCAGGTGAGACTGGTGGCAGCAGTGTGGAAGCTACATTCAACCGGCGCTATGTGATGCAGAAGTTGGAGTACGGCCGAGGCCGTGTCTGGCAAGATGTCCAACAGAAGGTGAAGACTTTCATCCTTGGTACTGACCTCTCTGTCTTCAAGCTCGAGGAGTTCATCAAAGTCCTTGACATCATCAATAGGTATGTACTTGGCAGAACCGGTATGTGATACAAATGTGAACATTTTTGGAATGAGACTCATCCACACAATGGTAGTTGTAATGGGGCATTGCAGTGAATCAGTGAAGACAACATGGAACCTCAGGTGTTCAACTGTTTCAGCCATAGTCATCACAATGTAGAATTAAGTGGTGATGGAAATATAAAAAATATGTTTGCCACTTACATACTGCTCACTGAGGAGATTATAGTTCTTAAGCAAATGTTATTGTTGTCCTGAGTTTCTAAGTTAGGTGTCAGATTATAACACGGGAAACATTGATTTAGACACCAGCCTTGTCATAACAGATGGTTAATTATAAGTCATGCAAGTGAATAAGTAATGTTTATATTTTGAGCAGTGTCAAGAAGCTAACAGTGTCAAAATGAAGAACTTGGATGTTATAGTGATGTCACTAAAACGTTTGTAACCACATGTTGCACACTCATTTCCAACTTCAGTTTATGGCCGTTAATTCTACAGTTAGCGTAGCTATACATTAGACACAGTGTGTTTCTCTCCTAATATGCATCCTTTGTGTAAATTCTTATGAAGTCACTCACCTTGAACCACATGGATAATACTGTTAGATGACTAAAGTAGCTGATGTAATCAACAAGGACTCTGTCTTGTCTCAGGATGATAGAGATTGGGGAAGAGTTTTGTGACAGCAAGTCTGAGGGTCTGCAAGATTCCCTCAAACAGCAGAGTCTCAACTACTTCAGAAATCATCATAGGTAAGTATTGTGATAATTCTTGTGAATACCCTACCTCTGTTACATCATAGCCATAAATTCCTGTTTATGCTGAGAACCACACTACAAATTTCAATAAATTTTCAACAGACTTTCTCTTCACTGCCAACATATCTAATAGTTGTGAGGGAAACCCTATCCCTCGTCAGAGACGCCACTGCCCATGCACAAGGCAGGAACCACCACATTTCTTTTCTGTGTGTCCAGATGACAACAAGGAATATTTGTTGTTGCATACATCTGTACACGTGATTGCTGTTCCATACTTACAAGCCACACTAGATCATCTCAAGCTTCACTAAAGACAAGCAGTGAGTGGTCCTACAAACAGAGAACAGGGGTATAAGAAGGCAGAAGGCTCTCGTAAGTAATTAGTTAGAGAACTTGTTGTGGGATAAGGACTTCATCCCAAAAACAGACGACAGAAACTTTCTAAGGCATGGCTGAATGACCCTGATTATAAAAAGAACAGGAGAGCGTCAGCAAAATATTCATCTGCTTCCTGTAAAAAAGTTATTAAGTCTGTTGTGACACCTAAAGATAATCACGTGGGTGACAAGCGAGTGTCGAGTGGGGTCGCCTTCTGAAGAGAAGAGATCTCGTCACTCATCCCACTCTCCCAATATAGTTAAGGAACTGATGTACCTTTCAGGTTTTAATGTAACCAGTCACATACATCCGGAAGTGGCTGGTAAAGTGGATAATCTAGGCTTGGAAGAAGCCACTCTATGCCACGTTTCCCCTTCTAGCCACTATGATAGATGAACTGACAACAAAACTCGTTCAAATCAGGATTGAATTCCCAAGCGTGCGCCATCTCATACCATCACACAGTCTAGTTATACGGGCGGTGAAAGCGAAGTGGATGTTACGTCACAATCATACAGTTACAGAACACATGATTCCTGCTCCGCTAGCCATAGATCAGATGACCGGGATTATTCTACCCCCAGCTCAGCCTGAGCAGGGGGTGCGGTTCTATCGCTAACACTGGTTCTTCATGCAATGGGGACTCTACTACGGGGGATAATTACAAACCAAATAATTATTCCATTAAAGATATCATTGCAGAACTTAAACAAATGCCAGCCTTAAAACCAGATGACAAAGACAAAACGGCTGCCAAACCCTTGTTAGAACGTGCTGGGTATGAAGAACCTGTCAGCAAAACTGAAGAATTTCATGCCCTGAGGGCCGTTATATATTGATGACGTCATCAAGAAAACCGAAGCATCATTGAATGCTTCATCAGTGCATAATATTAGACTTGGTATGCCTGCTATTAATAAAAGTGCTTACAATACACACGATGCTCCTTTCGCACAACAGCCTAGTATTGATTAAGATTTCTGTAAACTTGTTAAGAAACCTAACACCAGGATGCACGTTGACATCGCCAAAATCAGGGACTTTGACAACATCAATAAACAGATGATTAATATCAGTTCATCTATTAACTGGATTGCAGCTGGAATTCGCCATGTTATTCCTCCGAACAATCAGAGCGAAGGTCTTCCCTTAGACACCCCCATGGAGATGACACTACAGCAGACCGGGTTTATTCACAGCTCACTGGATCGTATGCTGAAGATGCAGGAAGATCTTCAATCAGCACAAGTTTGGATGTCAGCACAGTTCCTGCTCATGCAAAGAAATCCTCTGCTACAACAAGTTCATCATTTGATTCCAGAGCCGCTAAGAAGATCCATGCTATCACAGGCTATAACAGCTCGACAGATATTCAACGGCAGGCTGAAGTCAGTGAAGGAAGCCATTGCATCATCATCTAGTCAGAAGTTTCAAGAATCCACGATCTTATTGACATCCAAGATCCAGAAACGGCCTGCAGATATCCAGCATCAACAACAGAATCCTAAATCTCGTCATGTGAACTCTGGTCGGGATTCTTTTCGAGCCTCTGCATGGAAGGGCCCATTTCTGGTGTCCCCCGCCGTGATATTGCTGGAATATTGCTAAAAGCAGCGTAAAACCTCACTCACTCACTCTACATGGAAGGACAGATCGTTTAACACCAAGAATAGGAACTCCAAAGATGATCATCCCACTTTACAAAGAGGAAGAGGTAGAGGCAGAGGAGGCTTCCAAGGGGGATACCGCCGGAAATGACTCAACCAGAGATCTACAGATTCCTTCAGAACCTACCGACATTGCCTGCCCAGTGGACAATGTTTTAGAACTTCAGATTGATTGATTGATTGATTGTTGTTTAACGCTGCACTCAGCAATATTCCAGCTATATGACGGCGGTCTGTAAATAATCGAATCTGGACCAGACAATCCAGTGATTGACATCATGAGCATCGACCCACGCAATTGGGATCGATGATATGTACCAACCAAGTCAGCGAGCCTGACCACCCGATCCCGTTAGTCGCCTTTTACAACAAGCACAGTCGCCTTTTACGGCAAGTATGGGTTGCTGAAGAACTATTCTACCCCGGAATCTTCACTATACAACCACATTGAATGGCGTCGAACTAGCCTGTCTCACAGACATCGACCCAAGACTACCGAAGTTCAGCACTCCCCCTATTCCGCGACCAGTCGTTGATTGTCTTATGCAGTACTCTGACAACTGGGAAGCCATCACAGACGACTCATAAAACGCCAAGACTAGTCATCCATCCTACTGGACCCCAATTCCATCCATCAGGACGAAAGTTAATTGCAGCAGATGTGGCCATACGCAAATTACTTGCAAAGAGAGCTATCAGCACCTTAAAAGAGTCAGACACCACTCACGGATTCTTCTACCCAGTATTCATGGTACCAAAGAAGAATTCTTCAGAGATGCGATTAATCATAGATCTAAAAGTCCTAAACAAAGATTATCTGGTAAAGCCTCCCAAGTTTCAGATGGAATCTATCAAGAAGTTGAAGAATGCCTTAAGACAAGCGGATTGGATGATAAGCATAGACCTCCAAGACGTCTATCTTCACGTCCCCATCCATCCAATCCATTGTCGTTATCTGCACTTTGCAGTCAGCGATCAGAGATACCAGCTCAGGGTACTTCCACTCGGCATATCCATCGCCCCATGGTTATTCACCAGGATCACCAATCCCATCATCGGATTCGCCCATCTAAAGCTCATAAGGCTACATGGATATATAGACGACTTCCTATCGGCCGATCGGACAAGTTGTAAATCAGATTAAATACAGTGTGCCTTATTCAACTACTTAGGTTTCCTGGTTCACCCTAAAAAATCAGAATTAGTACCCACACAGGACATCACCTACATAGGTGCAAGATTTCTATTCAACAAGGGCATAGTTGCCCTTCCAGAGGACAGATATTCAAGAGTAGAAGACATGATATCAAGCGCACTCGATCAGCCCATCAGTTCAAGACGCTGGTGGATGTCTTGCCTCGGCACGCTCACCTCCATCCAAGATCTAACCTACAGAGGCAGACTACAGTTATGTCCCCTGCAAAATTGTATGAATACCGCCAAAGACCTAGAGCTAGAAGCATTAATTCAACCCCCACCAGTTCGAATCTCAGAACTACATTGGTGTCTGACTCAAAATGTCATGCCCGGTATTCCACTCTCATATCCTCCCCCCCCCCCCCTACATCAACTCTACACAGACAGGTCAGGAGAGGGTTGGGGGGTGCCCATATGGGCGATATTACAATACAGGGAAAATGTTCGCTTACGCATTTCCTCCCTGGGCTCTTCTAGACAGAGTTCTGAAGAAAATAGAAGAGACAGACTGCGTCATAATTGTCATAGCCCAGGCATGGCCAAACAGGGCTTGGTTTCCAAGGTTACTACCCCTCCTAGTGGAAGAAACTCTGAAACTCGCGGTACGTCAAGATTTACTGAGACAATCGAAAACGGACATATTTTACGTCCGCCTCGACAATCTCCACCTTCACGCTTGGTAGTTATCTCGAATAAGATGCAAGCTGCCGGTTAATCTAAATCAGCTACACAAAGAGTGGCAAGTTCATGGAGACCAGCATCGTCTTCCCTATACAATGACAGATGGGACAAGTTCATCGAGTGGAGAATAAGAAATTATTTAGACGTGGAGATAATGATACCTATAGTTGCTGAATTCTTGCTCTATCTCAGAAACGACAAGAAATTTCAACACAGCACTATCGAAGGCTATAGATCCACCCTGGCATCAGTATTACAACACCTATCTGTAGGTACACAGCCAGTACTGAATCAACTCATGAAGTCTCTTGCACTGGAAGACATTAAAACACCATGTATATTTCCAAAATGGGATCTATCTATAGTATTGTCAGCATTGATGAAACCACCTTATGAACCCATGAGAAATGTGACATTACTATTAGTTTCCAGGAAGACCGCTTGTCTCCTAGCCATGGCCACTGCGGCTCGTGTATCAGAATTACACGCTATTGACATTTCCACCGTAACTCATAGCCAAGAATGGAAATCAGTGTCGTTCAGGTCACTTCTGGATTTTATTGCCAAAAATCAGTCGTCAACCTTTGGCCCACTCAGACACAGGCAATATACAATACCAGCCTTAAGTAAAAGTGTGGACTATCCAGACAGATTACTTTGTTCCATAAGAGCCTTGAGATACTTCATTACAGCTACTCAACCCCAAAGAAAGCAGAGAAAACGCCTTTTTATCTCTTGCAAACCCTCATCAGAAAAGGACATAAGCAAGGGTACTGTAGCGGGATGGCTCAGATCAGTGATTGCAGATAGCTACAGACTGGCACATGTCTCCACACCAACTTGGGGAAGCTGCAGACCTCACGAGATCAGAGCTCTTGCAACAAGTCTAGCCACACGGAATACAGTCTCCATTGAACAAGTTGTAGCTAGCCGCCAGTAGAAGTCCCATAACATGTCGAACTTTTACTCACAAGACATACAGACCGATCAGGATGGACTATACACACTGGGACCCTTGGTGGCAGCCCAGTTGATAGTCTCCAAGTAACCATGCCACCCCTTCTTCTCTCGGGAACTTGGTTGGGGGAATGGATTTCAGAATACCTCATGAACTCAGGGTAAGTTGACCTTTTTACTAGTTTGCTATTGGATAGTAAACAAGTCAAGTGGCAACACTGAAATCATAGATTGAAAGGATACAAGTGATATACAGTTTCTACATGATAATCTAGGATGTATGATGTACTACCACCGGAAGTGACGTCATGCGAGACCTCACGTCCGGACTAACGTCAAAATACAGTAAATATCACTATCCAAAAGGGCATAACAGAAACGACATCATAAGGTGATATGAAATCATAGAAGACATATATCTCAAACGAGGTCATTGAATGACAACCGAAAGTGACGTCACAGGTGATGTCATCACCGGAAGTGACATCACAATATGTCTAAGTATCACATTTGTGGCTAAATATATGTATATTATGTTCATTATATGACGTTTTCTCTATGTCTAGCCTTGAAGTTAGGTCATTAGACATATCCCTTTGGTCCCTTTTGTATACAATCCTTGTATTCCCACTTCACAAAAGCCAAATATCTTAGGGTTGCTAGATACCAGATCCCACCGGTCCCTCTGGTGTATACTGGCTATGATGTAATAGAGGTTGGGTATACACAAGAATTATCTGACAATAGTTATAATTGTGTATAATTCTAAGAATCTTACCTCTATCACATCAGGAATTAATCCCTCCCACATCCCCAAATATCAGCATCTAGCTGATGAGGGTCATGGGTTGAAAGAAGTGAGGTGATTGCGGCCTCTGACGAGGGATAGGGTTTCCCTCACAACCATTAGATATGTTGGCAGTGAAGAGGACGTCTGTTGAAAATTTATTTAAATTTATAGTGTGGTTCTCAGCATAAACTGGAATTTATGGCTATGATGTCATAGAGGTAGTATTCTTAGAACTATACACAATGATAACTATTGCTAGATATTTTGTTCAGTGTATTTTCCATTCCACTTCATTGTCAGTGTATAGGTTATTATTGTTTCTCTCTTCAGACAAATAATTTCTCTTCAGTGCATTCACGATTAATATTCTCATCCCTGATTTTATATTCATTTAGTAATATGATCTGTTTATCAGGGCCCGTCTTGACGAACTGAGGATGTTTCTGGAAAATGAAGGCTGGGAATTGTGTCCTGTGAAGTCCAATTTTAACATTCTTCAGCTTCTGGTATGTTGGCACTTATGTAGCTGATATTCTTGTAGTAGATCAGTAAAGGTGTCAATCATTCGCAATACTCCTTGCATTTCTTTTCGCTTTTCAGGAATTTCGGTTCTTACGTAACTGGAAGTTGAAGATGAAGTCTGTAACACCTTCAGTGGATGTGGACAAGGTGTCTGGGTTAGACAGAATCAACGACACAACACTACAGAGCAATGGCTACTTCTCACGCTTCCTGGAGGAAGGAAGTCCATTTGACATACAACAGGATGAGGATGAGCAGGAAGATGTCTTCTCAAGTGTTGGGGTAGGTGGTACAGAAGACACGTGTTATCTAGGGTGGTGGTACAATAGACATGTATTATCTAGGGTGGTGGTACAGTGGACACATGTTATCTAGGGTGGTGGTACAGTGGACACATGTTATCTAGGCAGGTGGTACAGTAGACAGATGTGTTATCTAGGCAGGTGGTTCAGTGGACACATGTTATCTAGGGTGGTGGTACAGTGGACACATGTTATCTAGGGTGGTGGTACAGTGGACACATGTTATCTAGGGAAGTGGGACAGTAAACAGATGTATTATCTAGGGTGGTGGTACAGTGGACAGATGTATTATCTAGGGTGGTGGTACAGTGGACACATGTTATCTAGGCAAGCGGTACAGTAGACATGTATTATCTAGGGTGGTGGTAAAGTGGACACATGTTATCTAGGGTGGTGGTACAGTGGACACATGTTATCTAGGCAAGTGGTACAGTAGACAGATGTATTATCTAGGGTGGTGGTACAGTGGACAGATGTATTATCTAGGGTGGTGGTACAGTTGACACATGTTATCTAGGCAAGCGGTACAGTAGACATGTATTATCTAGGATGGTGGTAAAGTGGACACATGTTATCTAGGGTGGTGGTACAGTGGACACATGTTATCTAGGCAAGCGGAACAGTAGACACATGTAATCCAGAGTGGTGGTACAGTGGACACATCTTATCTAGGCAGGTGGTACAGTGGACACATGTTATCTAGGCAGGTGGTACAGTGGACACATGTTATCTAGGCAGGTGGTACAGTGGACACATGTAATCTAGGGTGCTTGTACAGTGGACACATGTTATCTAGGCAGGTGGTACAGTGGACACATGTTATCTAGGCAGGTGGTTCAGTGGACACATGTTATCTAGGGTGGTGGTACAGTACACAGATGTATTATCTAGGGTGGTGGTACAGAAGATAGATGTAATACCTATTGTTGGTGATACAGTAGAGACGTGTTATCTAGGGTGGACGTACAGTACACAGATGTGTTATGTAGGGTGGTGGTTCAATAGACAGATGTAATACCTAGGGTGCTACAGTAGACAGATGTGTTATCTAGGGTAGTGGTACAGTAGACATGTGTTTTATAGGGTGGTGGTACAGTAGACAGATGTGTTATCTAGGGCGTAGGTACAGTAGACAGATGTGCTATCTAGGGTGATAGTACAGTAGACACGTGTTATCTAGGGTGGTGGTACAGTAGACACGTGTTATCTAGGGTGGTGGTACAGTACACATGTTATCTGGGGTGAGGGTACAGTAGACAGATGTGTTACAATAGACAGATGTGTTATCTAGGGTGGTTGTACAGTAGACAGATGTGATATCTAGGGCGGTGGTACAGTAGACAGATGTGTTATCTAGGGTGGTGGAACAGTAGACAGATTTGATATCTAGGGTGGTGGAACAGTAGACAAGTGTGTTTTCTAGGGTGGTTGTACAGTAGACAGATGTGATATCTAGGGCGGTGGTACAGTAGACAGATGTGTTATCTAGGGTGGTGGAACAGTAGACAGATTTGATATCTAGGGTGGTGGAACAGTAGACAAGTGTGTTTTCTAGGGTGGTGGTACAAAAGCCAGATGTGTTAAGTAGGGTGGTGGTACAGTAGACAGATGTGTTGAGTAGGGTGGTGGTACAGTAGACAGATGTGTTATCATGCAGGTGGTACAATAGACAGATGTGTTAACTAGGGTGATGGTACAGTAGACAGATGTGTTATCATGCAAATGGTACAATAAACAGATGTGTTAACTAGGGTGAGGGTACAGTAGACAGATGTGTTATCATGCAGGTGGTACAATAGACAGATGTGTTAACTTGGGTGGTGGTACAGTAGACAGGTGTGTTACCGTGCAGGTGGTACAATAGACAGATGTGTTAACTAGGGTGAGGGGAGAGTAGACAGGTGTGTTATCATGCAGGTGGTACAATAGACAGATGTGTTATCAAAGGTGGTGGTACACTTGACAGATGTGTTATCATGCAGGTGGTACAATAGACAGATATGTTAACTAGGGTGAGGGTAGAGTAGACAGATGTGTTATCTTGGGGGTGGTTGTACAATAGACAGATGTTTTATTTAGGCAGGTGGTACAGTGGACAGATGTGTTATCTAGGGTGGTGATACAATAGACATGTGTGTTTTCTTGTGTGGTGGTACAATAGACAGATGTGTTATCTAGGCAGGTGGTACAGTAGACTGATGTGTTATCTTGGCAGGTGGTACAATACACAGATGTCTTATCTAGGGTGGTGGTACAATAGACAGATGTCTCATCTAGGGAGGTGGTACAATAGACAGATGTCTCATCTAGGGTGGTGGTACAATAGACAGATGTCTTATCTAGGATGGTGGTATAATAGACAAATGTGTTATCTTGGGTGGTGGTATACTAGACATGTGTTATCTAGGGTGGTGGTACATTAGACAAATGTGTTATCTAGGCAGGTGAAACAGTAGACTGATGTGTTATCTTGGCAGGTGGTACAATACACAGATGTGTTCTCTAGGCAGGTGGTACAATAGACAGATGTCTTATCTAGGGTGGTGATACAATAGACAGATGTCTTATCTAGGATGGTGGTATAATAGACATGTGTTATCTGGGTTGGTGGTATACTAGACAAGTGTTATCTAGGGTGGTACAGTAGACAAATGTGTTATCTAGGGTGGTGGTACAGTAGACATGTGTTATCTTGGGTAAGTGGTACAGTTGAGTGATGTGTTATTAAGGGTGGGTGGTACGGCAATGAGATACATTGTTTGGAAACAGTACAGTCTGCAAGCCAGGATCTTTGTAGGACAGAAGTTATTTTGTGTTATGTAATATATACAAAGAAAGGTACTGAATGGCAGAGATTTTCAACACTAACTTTCATCTCTGTCTGGTAGGAGAAGGATGACGATGGCTACAGAGATTCCGATAGCGACTCTGATGTAGCAGATGAACTGAAGCAGGATTACATCGATGAGCTGACAGGAGAGACCAGGTCCCACAGGTAAGGGCACTGATACTTGCATGAAGAGCAGAAGTGACAACATACAGGTGCATTTGTAGCAGGCGCCTGAGTCATCCAACCCATGACATCCGTACCTTGGTGGTCATGTGGGTGAGGCATCCGACCTCGCATCAGAAGGTCTATGGTCGGACCCATCACGAGACCTGGAAATATTATGGGCGCTGTATGCAGTACAGAATGATACACTTGTCTGTGCTGTACGTGTAAATCCTGGCTTTGTCACATTGTCTTCCCATAGTCCCGTCTGGAGGTCATTAGGCAGTTAGTTCTACTGAAGATGCAGCACCATGAAGAATGCTTATACTGGGCCTCTCACTCCTGTCCTCCTATTTCAATGGATTATATATAGCAGAATTTACCATTTATTCCATCATGTCCATGAATATGTGTGATTCACTTTCTGTTAAATTTCCAACTTGGCATTGTAATTATCACATATAGACACTGTAGAGATACATTGAATCCCCAAAGAAAGTTGTTGATGTTTTATGTGTGGAAAAGCATGCTTGCATTTGAATGAATTCCTGTGTTTTGTCAGATATACACGTCAACGGTCAAATCATGGGAGGAAGCAGAAACATTCACCGATCATCAGCAACACAACGCTCAACGTCCTGCGGGTTATAGGTACGACAACCTATCACTTGAGGTGTTTAGCAGAGAATATGTCAGGCCCTAGAAGTGTTGTTTGTCTAACTAATCTTATGTTTGTTCTGTCTGGTGTCTTGAACAGTGAATGTTGTTTGTTGTAGGTAAATATCTACAGATGATGGCAGTGTTGAAACCCATTGCTTATGATGTGATCAGTTGCACAGCTCAACTTTTTGATTACATACTCTATACTGTAAGTATTGCATAGTGACTGTGGTTTAAATTTCTGAAATCTAAATCACCCATGATATCACAGTTTTAAATGCCTTTGTAGCGACTCTGTATGTGACAAGTTGCCCTGATTTGGTATCATGAGGCATTCAACATGACAGTGAATTCACAAAACATTAATGTAGTATTAGGTTCTTGACAGTGTGTTTTGTATATGTTTGTTGTCCCCCGCCGCGCGAAAGCGCGAAGCGGGGGATATAGTATTCACGTACGTCCCACCTGTTTGTTGCCGCGATATCTCAAGAACTAAACACTGGATTGTCTTCATATTTGGAACTATGGTGTATATACAGACTCCGCAGACACCAGTACGTTTTGGTGACCTTGACCCCATTTTCAAGGTCACAGCAGGCAAATCTGCTTTTGGAGTTGGAAAACGGTGTTGCCGCGATATCTCAAGAACCAAACACTGGATTGTCTTCATATTTGGAACTATGGTGTATATACAGACTCCGCAGACACCAGTCGGTTTTGGTGACCTTGACACCATTTTCAAGGTCACAGCAGGCAAATCTGCTTTTGGAGTTTGAAAACGGTGTTGCCGTGATATCTCAAGAACTAATCGCAGGATTGTCTTCATATTTGGAACTATGGTGTATATACAGACTCCGCAGACACCAGTCGGTTTTGGTGACCTTGACACCATTTTCAAGGTCACAGCAGGCAAATCTGCTTTTGGAGTTTGAAAACGGTGTTGCCGTGATATCTCAAGAACTAATCGCAGGATTGTCTTCATATTTGGAACTATGGTGTATATACAGACACTGCAGACACCAGTCGGTTTTGGTGACCTTGACCCCATTTTCAAGGTCACAGCAGGCAAATCTGCTTTTGGAGTTGGAAAACGGTTTTGCCGCGATATCTCAAGAACTAATCGCTGGATTGTCTTCATATTTGGTACTATGGTGTATATACAGGCGGGGGACATTTCGTCACTTTGTGACAAATACTTGTTTAACTTGTGTTCTTCACCAACAGTATATTTACTCAATGCAGTACCTCTGTTTTCTCTTCTTTCAGGTATATACATTCTTTGGATCTGACACGGTGAGTATACTTCACGTGTATTGATGTATGTACACAATGTCGATATATGGTTTGGGCTGAATCACTCCCTTCATGTCCTCCAACACTTGTTTTGCAGAATGTGTCCTATGACAGGACGGTCAACAACCGTTTGAGAACAACCCTACATCGAATACATGAGAGGATGATAGCTGGGTCAAACGTACCAGGGAACATGGCCGGCGAGGCTGAGGATAGCATGGTGAGTCAGTTGATTGGGTGTCCAGTTAAAGGATAGCATGGTGAATCAGTTGATTGGGTGTCCAGTTAAAGGATAGCACGGTGAGTAGTAGATTGGGTGTCCAGTTAAAGGATAGCATGGTGAATCAGTTGATTGGGTGTCCAGTTAAAGGATAGCATGGCGAGTCAGTTGATTGGGTGTCCAGTTAAAGGATAACATGGCGAGTCAGTTGATTGGGTGTCCAGTTAAAGGATAGCATGGCGAGTAGTAGATTGGGTGTCCAGTTAGATTGGGTGTCCAGTTAAAGGACAGCATGGCCAGTCAGTAGATTTGGTGTCCAGTTAAAGGATAGCATGGCGAGTCAGTTGATTGGGTGTCCAGTTAAAGGATAACATGGCGAGTCAGTTGATTGGGTGTCCAGTTAAAGAATAGCATGGTGAGTCAGTAGATTGGGTGTCCAGTTAAAGGATAGCCTGGTGAGTCAGTAGATTGGGTGTCCAGTTAAAGGATAGCATGGCGAGTAGTAGATTGGGTGTCCAGTTAGATTGGGTGTCCAGTTAAAGGCTAGCATGGCGAGTCAGTAGATTGGGTGTCCAGTTAAAGGATAGCATGGCAAGTCAGTTGATTGGGTGTCCAGTTAAAGAATAGCATGGCGAGTCAGTTGATTGGGTGTCCAGTTAAAGGATAGCATGGCGAGTAGTAGACTGGGTGTCCAGTTAAAGGATAGCATGGCGAGTCAGTTGATAGGGTGTTCAGTTAAAGGATAGCATGGCGAGTCAGTAGATTGGGTGTACAGTTAAAGGATAGCATGGCCAGTCAGTAGATTGGGTGTTCAGTTAAAGGATAGCATGGCGAGTCAGTTGATTGGGTGTCTAGTTAAAGGATAGCATGGCGAGTCAGTTGATTGGGTGTTCACTTATAGGATAGCATGGCGAGTCAGTTGATTGGGTGTTCAGTTAAAGGATAGCATGGCGAGTTAGTTGATTGGGTGTTCAGTTAAAGGATAGCATGGCCAGTCAGTAGATTGGGTGTACAGTTAAAGGATAGCATGGCCAGTCAGTAGATTGGGTGTCCAGTTAAAGGATAGCATGGTGAGTCAGTTGATTGGGTGTTCAGTTAAAGGATAGCCAGGCGAGTCAATAGATTGGTTGTCCAGTTAAAGGATAGCATGGCGAGTCAGTTGATTGGGTGTCCAGTTAAAGGATAGCATGGTGAGTCAGTTGATTGGGTGTCCAGTTAAAGGATAGCATGGCGAGTTGTAGATTGGGTGTCCAGTTAAAGGATAGCATGGCGAGTCAGTAGATTGGGTGTTCAGTTAAAGGATAGCATGGCGAGTCAGTTGATTGGGTGTTCAGTTAAAGGATAGCATGGCGAGTCAGTTGATTGGGTGTCTAGTTAAAGGATAGCATGGCGAGTCAGTTGATTGGGTGTTCACTTATAGGATAGCATGGCGAGTCAGTTGATTGGGTGTTCAGTTAATGGATAGCATGGTGAGTCAGTTGGTTGGGTGTTCAGTTAAAGGATAGCATGGCGAGTCAGTTGATTGGTTGTTCAGTTAAAGGATAAGATGGCGAGTCAGTTGATTGGGTGTTCAGTTAAAGGATAGCATGGCGAGTCAGTAGATTGGATGTTCAGGTAAAGGATAGCATGGTGAGTCAGTTGATTATGTTGTGAGTCAGGTCGATGACTTCTTCCGTTACTTTGTTTTGTGTATTTCAGGACAAAATCCTGCCAGCCTCCATGTCTACAATAGTTGACCTACGGTCCAGGGACCGATTATATGGACTGTCGGAGAGAGTCATAGCAGCAGAGTCACTGTGAGTACAACCTGACAGCTCACACTACAGTATGTAGCTAACACAACTCTTAAGCATAGCAAGACATTTATAAAACATAAGTTTTAAAACTGATCCTATCCAACACTATCCATTTCTTCTTATTCTTCAATCCTGGTGTGGAAACGTACTAAAACAAAGTTTCCAGTTTTAAAAACACCACTCACCCCAACACATCCCATACATCACCAAGTCACCACTGTGATCATGGGTCACGCACCACTGCAATCCCGTGACACAATTCTATCACCTGGTGTTTTTCTTTTTACATGATTTCACTTCTGTTTCCCATTACCTGAAGATATGATACATTTGGAGTCGTCATGTATTCCTTTTCACAGCCTGGTATCACCTGTTTTCTCCACTTGACCCCCTTCCCATTTGTTGTGATTGTCGTGGAGTGTGTGGTAATGATACACACAATGTCAGCAATGTGCATGGTCATGGTCATTCCCCAGCATGCACAGCCAAACAATTTGTGTTATCCCACGACTTCTTGCTAACAAGAAACTAAGTCCATTCGGCGACGGTTACATCTCTCTCCGTTGAGGAGGATTGCTCTCTGACTTGTTTTGGCTGCCGCCCTTCCCACCCATGGGTGAACCGAGCCCCTTGCTCGTAACTACTCCCTCTCCTACAGTTGATCGCTTTCAACTGGCCTGTTATGTCGTCTGCTGCTTCCCCCTTCTCAGATTCAAGGAAGACCTCCTTCGCTGAGGTCCAACATCTCCGCTCTACTAGGAAGTTGAAAGGATCAACTTTATCTACCTGTTTGGCTGCTAGTAATTCAGTCGTTACCATGACTACTAGCTCTGCTGTCGCTGATCTTCTGGCGTTGATTGGCTGGACCTATCATCCAGACTTAGCCCTCCAGTATGGGATCTCATCGTCTTCTTCCGTCACTTCCCGACATGGGTACAATGTGTGAAGCCCATAATTCTTGTGAATACCCTACCTCTATAACATCATAGCCATAAATTCCTGTTTATGCTGAGAACCACACTACAAATTTCAATAAATTTTCAACAGACGTCCTCTTCACTGCCAACATATCTAATAGTTGTGAGGGAAACCCTATCCCTCGTCAGAGACGCCACTGTGCATGCGCAAGGCAGGAACCACCACATTTCTTTTCTGTGTGTCCAGATGACAACAAGGAAAATTTGTTGTTGCATACATCTGTACACGTGATTGCTGTTCCACACTTACAATACACACCAGATCATCTCAAGCTTCACTAAAGAGAAGCAGTGAGCGGTCCTACAAACAGAGAACAGGGGTATAAGAAGGCAGAAGGCTCTCGTAAGTAATTAGTTAGAGAACTTGTTGTGGGATAAGGACTTCATCCCAAAAACAGACGCCTGTCTGTTCAGGTTGTGGGCAACATAAAATCTCTGGTGACCCTCACCCTAGGTGGCTATCATGCAAGAAAAGCAATTGCACTCAAAAATCAAGGTGCAGTTATTGTGAACCTTTGTCCAAGGTCACATCACATTTCACAATTTCACATTTCAATTTATCATTTTTTATAACTATTTCCCGCGATGTTATTGAAAATAAAATTCTCGGACACACATTTCGACAACAGGTCCACATCGAACATGGCAAAGAGGAAAATAATGACGTTTTAAACAAATCTTTAAATATATTATTCAAAGTAATAAATAAAATCAACAAAAATATATCTAAAAGTAATCAAACTTACATCTAAGTTATTATTTCCATCTTTTCGTCCGATCGCGTGTAATGTAAGTCGAATGACATCTCGGCTTTCGTCGCCTTGAATTCTCGGCTCAGACACGATGTTTAATGCAAAAATATATGCATGAAATATCTTTGTCACAGCTCGTAACCTAGCACGATACATTCACGAAGTTCCATATTTTTAATATATATTCAGAATAACACGATTTAACAAAAATCTTTCGTCATCTTCTGTAATTTATCGAACACGAGCTTGGTATCACAGCTGTAATTTGATTGGCTGCCTTAGGTCACGTGCTCAAAATTGACCAATCACGAAACTTGTAGCAGATTTCGTCAATAAGCGTCGTTAGAAACCAATTTTAATCCAATGAAATCGCTTGTTATAACTACGAAAAAACACCAGGCGATGTTACGAGCGTGTAGATGAAGGAATAAGCTTTCTAGCGATGTGTCATATGCTATTCTTCGACGAACGTGTTATTCATACGAAACCTCGAAAACAGGGGTATTTCTTCATTTTACTGAGCGGACAGTCGCTGTTATCGGGAAATAGGTGATGACAGAAACTATTTATAATTCTTTTTAAAATGATTTTCTAATTACTTAAACAATGAAAATAAAACAGAAATAGGTACGTCAATATTATGGAATCATATATTTGCCGAAAATCGTCAAGTTTTCGCTTCCTTGGTCCTTAATCTGGATGTTGACAACGTGTTAGTGTAGATTTTTTATTTACAACGAATTTAATTAAGTTGTAAATGCATATTTAAAAAATGTGAAAAACATAACTTTCATATTTTGAACCATAGGATCAGACCTTTCAAATGGTGTATAACATGTAGTAGCAAATATATTTTACAAGCAGGTATTTTCTTTGATAAATGTTGGCTTCATCTATCACACAAGAGTGTCTGGGAACTCGGTGTCCCAGCAGTAAACACTTCTGGTTGATTGGTGTTGAAAGAGTTAAGCGAGTGTTGCGTAGGGACGCCGTCTCGCCTTCTGAGGAGAAGAGATCTCGTCACTCATCCCACTCTCCCAATATAGTTAAGGAACCGATGTACCTTTCAGGTTTTAATGTAACCAGCCACGTACATCCAGAAGCGGCTGGTAAAGTGGATAATCTAGGCTTGGAAGAAGCAAGCGATTTCCACTCTATGCCACGTTTCCCCTTTAACTAAAATGAGTTCACGGAAAAAATAACTAAAATGAGTTCACGGAAAAAATAACCAATTCCATGTCTGTAATGATTGACAAACGTATGCAATCAATGTCTCATGAAATCTCATATCTAAAAGAATCCATTGTACAACACAAGATTCAAAAGAGATCTAAGGCTGAATATGACAGGGCATCCTCACACAGCAGACACACACACAGTCAAGCTGAATCAGATTATTATGAGGACAGTAGGAGAGTCATAAAAAGAGATCGAGAATCTCATAGATCCCCTCCCTACCACGCACATCATAGGGTAGATCATGAATCACGGACATCGCTTTGCAGTGTGCACAGAAATACACACCATTCACCTTCTAGCCACTATGATAGACGAACTGACAACAAAACTTGTGCAAATCAGGATAGAATTCCCAAGCGTGCGCCATCTCATACCATCACACAGTCTAGTTATACGGGCGGTGAAAGCGAAGTGGATGTTACATCACAATCATACAGTTACAGAACACATGATTCCTGCTCCGCTAGCCATAGATCAGATGACCGGGATTATTCTACCCCCAGCTCAGCCTGAGCAGGGGGTGCGGTTGTATCGCTAACACTGGTTCATCATGCAATGGGGACTCTACTACGGGGGATAATTACAAACCAAATAAATATAGCTGCAAAGCATCAATGGCAAGCTCCAAGTTACACTGTGCACAAACCTCGATGTTCGAATCCTCAAAGGGTTTCCTTGTACCAAATCCGCCAAAAGTAGGCACCACTTGAAGGGTATCGTCGCTACGAAATTGTCATGTGCAGGGGTGTCCAAGTCTGTTCTAAACCCATTTAGGACCTTGAACATGTTCGAATCCTCAAAGGGTTTGCTTGTACCAACTCCGTCCAAAAATAGTCACCTGACATCGCAGCTACGAAATTGGCGTATTCAAGGGGTGTCCCAAATATTTATCAAATATTACCACCAAGCTGTGTTACTTTTAGCATGCAACCAAGAACAAAAGATGAGGTACATATGTCCATCTAACTTCATGTCAACGTTCAAAAGTTTTGGTGGAGAACCTTACAAGATATGATCTTTAAAGTAAAATTTTGGTGCAAAAAATCATCAAATTCAAAATCCAATAGGGCCGTAACTAAGAAAGATATCCAAAAACGGCTAACAGAGTTTGATGTATTATGTATGGAGACAATTCTCAGAAAGTTTGAAATCATTTCATGCAGTGGATTCAGAGGAGATAGGATTTGAAGAGTGGTACCAAAAAAACCTGTGAAAACCTAGAATCCAATATGGCTGCCAAACCACGCGACCAATGACCAAAGTCAAAGAACAAAAAATGTCGGGGAACTGAAGCAGCAGATACATGCAAGGTTTGAAATTAATAGGACAAGCGGTTGCGGAGCAATAGTGCAAAATACATCTTAAAAAAATACTTGTTTTAGTCTGTTTTCAGTCGTACAATTGGGTATCTCATACCTCTAGTCGCACGTTAAAAGGAAGCCAGAAGCTGGAATGTAAACAATAAACTTGTTTCCGTCCGGTTGCGCACGCACCTCCCTATGACATGCCACAAATCTCTCAGCGCACCTCTGAGCTGGTTGCTCGAGAAGGACTTTCGTGATAGACTGCTAGTTTGTATTCTACTAGTACTTATCGTGTGTCTACAGTTGTTGTTCTAATAAAGTAATGATAATATGTCTTCCCTGTAGACTCCTGGAATGTAATCCTTGGTAATCCATTGTTTCACTGTTTGACTTGATTATACACGTGGCAACATGGCGGGCATTTGTCCCTCGTGTCAACGAAAACTGTCTAAAGTAGATCCTCACAAGTATTGTCCTTCCTGCATAATTAAGGACGGGTTTTCAACGTGTTCGTGGGATAAACGTTGTAAAGAATGTGAGCACTTGTCTTCTATCAACTTTAACTTGTATCTTCGTGCGTTGGCGAAGCGGGCTACTGACCAGCGCTACAAGCAGAGAAGGTCATCGGGTGGATCCTTGGACTCTGCACCCTCTACATCTGGCCAAAGAAATCAGTTGATAAAGACCCGCCTCAGTCAACTTATGTTTTCGACAAGACACGTGACCGT